ACATGTCCTTCCAGCCACAACCTGGTCATGCCAAGCTGGCCACCAAGACTAGGTATGGTGGCACATGCCTGTAATTTGAGCACTGGAGAGATTGGAATAGGAGGACCACTCTGAGTGTGAGCTGTGTAGTGAGACACTGTACCATTTTTTTTCCTTAAATTTAAAAAAGGACCAAAATGTGTAACACATAATGGAACATAGGGAGAAAATGCTCAAACGAGAAAGGGGAAAAGTGATGAGGGCAAGGGGAAAGAATGAAGGGAAAAATAAAAAAGAAGAGAAGGAAGAAATTGGAAACAAAGCTTTTCTAAATAAGGAAGGGCTGACCTTATGTTCAATTCCCAGTACTAGGAAGGAAAGAAGAGGCTAGCAACATGGTTGACTGTGAGAAACCAGAACTTTGCTGAATGGGAGGAGGAAGCACGTAAGTGGGCCTTCATCCAGCCTGCTCCAGCCCTGCTCTGCGTTCCCTGGCTGCTGCACACACACAGAGGAAAGAGAGACAACAGCGTGGGAAGGAATGAACACAAAGGCCTCTGTGCAGTGATGGCAGGACAGTCTATGAAGAAAACCCAAGAAATTTGAGCAAGAAAGTGACTTTTGAGTTCAGTGGAAGTGGTCAATGCCTGTTATTTCAGCCCTGTAGGAAGCTGAGTACAAGGTCTTACATTCGGAACAAGATGGGGTAGCAATGTAGGAAGACGCCATTAATAATCAGTTTTTGGAGGCCACGTCATTCTATTCCTGGAGAAACTTCACAGAGACCTTCTGCTCATGGTTCAGGGGTTGCAGTTCCCAGAAAGGCTGTCGGGACATCTTTTTGTGTTAGTTTTCATCACACTGTAATCTAACTTCTGTACATTTTTACTGTTAGTTGAAACAACTCCAGGCGGTCAGCTGAAAGGATGGGATCTAATTCCTACACACTGGGGAATGTTGTAGTTGCTTTTTAAAAATTAATTTTATTGAGAAAAAAATTGCAGTGAGACAGCTTCAATACAGGTTGGCAGGAGAGTTGCAAAACATATTGTATATTGCTGTTTTTGTGGTAGTCATTCTTAGCACAAGATGCAGACATGATATCCTGACCTCACACCATTAGGACAAATCTTTCTTCCTATTGAATTAAGATCAAGAAGCTATATATCTATCCTAACTATTATGCAGATGTGGATACAAAATTGTCCTTCATTTCTATCTCTTTTTTTGGTTTCGTTTTGTCAAAGAAGGGTATTCCATTGCCATCCAAATATTGTAGGTGCAAGAATTCAGTAAAATATTCCAATATAGTCCAGAAGCCCACAATAGTAGTGGGCTATCCCCAGGACTGGCAATGTCTGAATCTGTTGACTTGAGCCTTCCACAACTCAGCATATTAACATGTCTTCATTTTTCATACCTCATTTCTACACTTTTCTGCTGGCTGGTTAAGACCAAGATAAAGTAAGATCTATATAACAAGAAATGTAACTTTTGTATCTGACAAGGTTAGTCCTCTTTGGATTTATCCTGAAACTCTGTACTGC